CCCCAAAACCCCAAAACCCCAAAACCCCGTCAAATTAATTTTTCAGATTTGCAGATTATTTAATGGATTAATAATACAGGAATAAAATCTTAGCAAGATTTAATTGATAATTGCTGGTTTTTGAGGAAATAAATTAATTTATAATCATCATGGGCTGCTGTTAATGCAAAAAATAAGCATAACTCAAAGAGAAAGACTCTAATCAATCATCTAAAAATGTTAATGCAAATGATAAATCTTCAGCTTAAGGAAAGAAGAATTTGTCTGAATTAGATGGGAACCAAGAAGGGAATGCTTCAGTGGTTGGGGATAGATCTGCCAATTATCTTCTCAACATAAATCCTCAAGATGATACTACCAATGAGGAAAGTAAAATAATCAGTGTGAATCAGCAAAATCGAAGATGAGGCTAATAGAGCGTAAAGTAATAATAAAGGAAGCATTAAGAGATGAGTCCAGAGTTAAGAAATAGTCTCAAAATCAAACTACCTATCAATAACTAGTCAAGCTAATAACGATAGGCCCCATAAAATGAGGAAAATAATGACGATAATTAGGATAATTCTGAGGATATGGAAGAAGAATATTTGGAAGGAGAGGAAAGTGAAGAAGACTTAGAAGAAGAGGAGGAAGAAGAGGAGGAAACTGAAGAAGAGTAAACTGACAGTGAATTAGAGTCTGAAGAAATCAAAGACTAGGTGGACTAGCTATAAAATCAAAGTTCAAACCCCCTATCAATAGATATTGGCTTCTAAAATTAATTAAATAATCAGCATTGCATTAACCAGGATTAAGCAATGAACGAGGGAGGAACTCCCCCTAGAAATGACTTGATTGTTGTCAGATAAAAGACTGCAAGTACTAATAGCAGTAAAAATGATGGAATACTTGAAAGACAGAAAACCGTTTAAAGCAGAATTAGCTGATAGGATGATCAAAATTCAAGCTCTTAATAAAAATAGTAATCCCAATCTCCAAAGTCAAGTCAGAAAGCTCATATAAAGATAGATCACTTAAATCTTCCCTAAGAAACTCCTCCATCCTAAAAGTCCAGGAAAAAATTGCAGCTCTAATTAGTCAGTTAACCTGAAAGCTTAGATGATAGCTCAAGATAAGATTATAAAAAGGAACCAGAAATCGTTTAGTCAAACATTTAATAAGATAAATTGTTGAAACCATCAGATGCTCTCTAGCTATAAAACTAGAGAAGACCCCCTTAGTAATTAAATATATGTGAAGATTAATTTATGATTATAGATTTTTAAAAAGCAGTAAGAAGTCATCTTCCTTTAATGTCAAAAAGGAGGAAAATCATAATCTTAAAGAGATGCAGAGAAAAGCTTAGGAGTCTTATGAGAAGAAAAGAACATAAAATTTAGAGTAAGATAGAGACAAGCGAAAAAAGAATGAGTATGCTCATTATGAGGATGAGGAGGATGAGAAAATTGTGATACCAGATGATGTCAGAAGTTCTAAAAACTCTAAGAGATCTAAAAAATCTAAATCTAAGGGCAACTCATAGGCTATAGAAGAAGAGGATGAGAATGAATATGAGGAAAGCGAAGAGGAAATAATCAAGAAATTCTTTGATAATGATAATAAAGACAGATACTTCACTAAGGAATAAATAGACTACTATGAAACTGTTTACAAACCAATGATGGAAAAGCCTGGTCAGAGAAAGTACATCATCAGAAAGTAAGAATTCGATCGTTTTTAATTTATGACTATTATAGCTTTAAGAAATCTCATGCTATTGGCAGTGGATCATTTGGGACTGTGTACTCTGGATTTGATAATGACCATGGAATATTGATAGCAGTAAAAGCTGCACCTATCTCTCCATATGCAAATACTACATAGGATAGAGTAAATTATTAATCATAACATTTCTATTTAGAAAATCAAAGCTTTAATGCAAGAAATTGATTTACTTAAGACACTAAATCATAAAAATATCGTCAAATATTTGGGATCCCATAAAGATGCAGATTGTATTAATATTTTTCTGGAGTTTGTCTCTGGTGGCTCATTAGAAAGGATTTATAAAACTTATCCAATGAATGAAAACCTTCTTAGAGTATACACAAAGCAAATACTTGAAGGATTGGAATATTTGCATGTAAATAACGTTATTCATAGAGATATTAAGGCAGCAAATATCCTTTTAGACTCTCCAAGTGTTTGTAAATTGGCAGACTTTGGTAGTTCCAAAAAGTATTATGGCCAGTTAAATCAATAATTCAACAGTTTTTGTGGTACTCCCTATTGGATGGCTCCAGAGGTTATAAAATAAATTGGACATAACAGATATGCTGACATTTGGAGTTTAGGCTGTACCGTTTATGAAATGATAGCTGGTAGGCCACCTTGGTCAGATAAAAAAGATATTTCAGTTTTACTTGCTATTGCTGAGGCCAAGGAGCCCCCTAAGTACCCTAAAAACTTATCTCCTGAATTAAAGAGTTTCTTGGATTGCTGTTTCAAGAAAGATCCTTATTAAAGAGCCAATGTATTTGAGCTACTTAGACATAAATTCATAAATGTATAGGCCAAAATTTAGCATTACCATTTTTCTTTAGACAAGATTGATGAAGAAAATACACCAGGGCCTACTCCTTCAGAATATTCTAAAAAGATAGGCACTTCTAGGTCTGGTGAAAGGGCTCCATCATCAGATAACAATAGTTCACCTGGAAAATAAAATAAGCAGTAGCCTGGCAAATTTTTCCCTTCGAAGGGAGAGAAAGATTACTTTATCAAAGACTGTGAACAAATTGATGAAGTCGATGAAAATAGATCATCTCTTTATACCTAAAAATATAGTAAAAGTAGCAATGCCCAAAACAGGGAGAAAAAGAATAGTCAAAGATCAAAAAAAGGAAGTAGCAGCAATTATAAATAAGTAAAAATCGAATATAGTGAGTCTAATCAAGCTGAAGAGGAAGAAGATGAGGAAAGTAAGGAAGATAAAGTTTCATAATTTAACAAAGGCAGAAGATAAAGCACTATGAAAAATAATAAAAATCATTAGCAAATTGAACCATAAATATAGCAAGATATGCTCAGACCATAAAAAACATCAAACTTTGAACTTTAAGTCCCTGGCAAAGAAAAAAGTAATCATAAAGCTAAAACTCCAGTAGAGGCACATAACTAAAAAAGGCCAAGTAGCATAAACAAGAATTAAAGAGATAAAATATCGATTGTATCTCCAGAACTTTCGGATTCATAAGGAGTATAATCCCCCTCTTAGGATTCAAGCTATTAGAAATTTTCGACTAAAGATTTTTATTCCGATAGTCGATCTCGGGGAAGAAGTGATAATTCAAAGAACAAAAAATCAGAGGCAAAGAGATAAATGACAAGATAGGAAATCGAGTTGCAAATATTGAATGAAATAATGAGTATTGCTGAATAAAAGGAAAAAGAAGAAAAAGATAGTGAATCAGGCAATTCATCTTTAATATCATCTGATTAATCAAAGAGTTAAATGAGTAAAAAAGAGAAAGTCGGCTATAGTAAGTTAAATAGATAAGAGACGGCTAAATTGAGTGTCATTAACGTTGGTTAGCTTGATCCTGATAGACCTCTTTCAACTAAAAAAGCTGATGAGAAGAAAAAATTATTTGAAGATTAAGAACTTATTTCTTAGTATGACTAGCAAGTTTAACAATTTGATTCATAGCCTCAAATAACAAAAGAAAATGGAATAAGATTGCTCAGTATAATAGATGAAGTTAGAAAAGAAGAAGGTATCGATGTAAACAGTTATCATCTTAATTAAGAAGAAATTTAGGCAAATTAGGAGTCTGAAAGAAGCTAAAGTCTTGAGGAATTCAAAAGAGAAGCTCAAAGATTAATAGAGAAAAAGAAGAAAAATCTGTAGCCTATAAATACGTCTGCTAAAAATTTACAAAAAATTCCATTAGGAATTGGATATAAAGATTATCTCAGACCATAGCTTTCATATGTCACTGAAGAGTGCCAAAGTAGTTCATCGAATCTATCAAAAGTATCCATAAATAAATAGATTCGATAGAGAGTTTAGATGGATATTTTAGAAGATATTGCTAGAGAACTTAAAGAGTAAGCGGCTGCTTCACCACCTTCTAGAGCTTAAATGATAAGCTAAAAAGCTATAAACAGTAAATCTAAGAATAAATAGCTTGCAATGCTAAGTGAAGAGAATTCTTAGGATTCAGATGGAGAAGAAGAAAAACTAAAATAAGTGGAAGAGTAGAAAAAACATAAGCAACAAGCTGCAAATTTAATTATTAAGGAAAATGGTAATTATGATAAAGATGAACTTAATATCCCAGATCATAATATCTTCAGATCTAGAGACTCGTAAAAAGATCGAAGTTTTAAGCAAGAATAAATTTCTCCAGATAAGGATGAAGAGTTAGAGATTTAAAAGTAATCTTAACAATAGCCTGAAGCCGTGCGTTCATTAGTTAAAAACACAAGTTTGGATTCTTTTGATACAAGTGAAGAAAATAGTGAGAGTGACTCAGATGAGAACGTTGAGAGTGCTAGAATGAACACTGATGAGATGGAGTAGATATTAATGAATAATGCAGCAAGTAATAATAATAATAGAAATAAATGAGCTTGAATTAGCAATCAAATTAGAGAATAAACTGCTTTTTAAATCTGAAAATGATATATCTTATTATAATAATTTTGATTTCATAAATGTAATTGAAATTCATTCTACATTTTATAAAAAAACTCGGGGTTTTGGGGTTTTGGGGTTTTGGGGTTGATTGGGAGA